TATATATATATATATATATATACTATGAAAAATAATATTTACAGCTTGACAATAAAAAATGGGCCAAGAAAATATGAGCTAAGAAATTGTCTCGTAAAAATGTCTTATAAAATATTCATGATATGAAAATTTACAATCACTGAAACGACACCTTTTAAAGCCAATCTCTCATGGCATGAAAAATCTAGAATGTATAAAAGCTATAGAAATGTAACATAGCTTATGGGCGAAATATATTTTATAACATATCGTTTTAAAAACGTACAGATTTTTACTAAAATTAAAAATTAAAGAATTGGACAGAACTGACTTCTGACATTAAAAAAATTATTTATAACAAGAACTGTTATTACCAATAAAACAAAAATACAAATTGAATTCCAATTAATTCAAGTTAAAGTTAACCAATGATATACAATTAATTCTACTTTTCGCATTATTATATACTTTGGTAATATTGGTAATAAAGATCCTGGTTATCGCCATTCCGCTCGATTTGTGAAAGAAACGTTTCGCTGTACAGATATTTCATTTGAAAACATTTCTCAAAAGTATTCTTGCCTTCACTTATCACGCACGGATTCTCGTATGTATTTGTTATCGTGTTATCGAAGGACTAATGATAACCAAAAGGCTAGGCAAGATAATATTCAGAGGAAGACAGCGTAATCATCCCACTACTTAATAAATTTATTAAAACATCTTTTGAAGAGCAAGTTGCCCAACTGAACTCGACAAAAATTATATAAAATATTATAAATATCGAGAAGAAAATTATGTTCCAATAAGTACTGCCAAAAGAAACTCCCTTCATCTAAAAACTAATTAAACATTTAATATTACAAAATTTAAACATTTTTAACTGTAAACTTTTATACAGATGTATTAAATACATACATGTATTTATTAAAGAAAAAGAACATTTTTTTATAAATATCACAGCAGTTTTTAAATGAAGGATGTTAGAGAGAGTAATACAGGTATAAAAAACAGTACCACTTATGTGTTATTATTTCTAAATTAATTTTTAAAACAGTGATATAAAAATAAATATCAGTTTCAAAAAAATTTTAATATAAATTTTGTTATTATTTCTACGATTATATATGTATATATATATATATATATATACTATCGACAATTTAATTAAAGAGATAATCGTAGAAATAATAACAAAATACGAACTTTGGAACAAATTTTACAATAAACC